TCTCGGGGAACCGGTGGGGGTCCCGCTCCCCGCGGGATGGGCCCTGATCTCGCCCCGTGGCCGGGTCGCGGTGTACCGCTGTGCCCAAGTCGCGGTGTCTGTCCTTACCCGGGTCCTGCTGTCCCAGTGCGTGGCTTTCGGAGCATCCTCCTAGGCCTTTCACCGTGTCCCTTTTCCCCAGGAAGGAGCGTCGGGTGGACAACATGAAGCCCAAACACCCTGACGAGCAGGAGATCCCGTTCCGCCTGCGGGAGCTCATCCGTAGCCGCGAGGCCATGAAGTGCCCGGGCCTCGGGAAGAAGCGAGTGGCAGGTAGGACACGGAGGATTTGCTATGGGGCATCGTCCTCCCCATGGTGATGTCCCACCCCTGCCCTGACAGAGGGAGGGACCCGTGGGGTGTCACTGCTGCAGTAATGTCACCTGTTTCTCCTAGAGAAGAAGCAGCAACCTAAGTCCAAGGGCTCCAAGGCCCCGGGGGATGTCCCCGTGGCCAGATTCCGGAGAGGGAAGGGGGAGTCGGAGCGTTCCTACTTCTGCCGCATGGAGCAGGAGGTGCAGCGTGTGCTCTTCCTCGCTGAAAACCAGCTCCCACGTGAGCCTGAGAAAAAGGCTCCAGAGAAGTCCAAGAGGAAAAAAGAGTGAGAGCAAAGCCATGGGGATGGACAGGGACTGCCCAGGCCTGTGGCCTGTGTCCCTGCTCTGTTGTGCAGGGCAGGCCTGGCATGGTTGGGAGTGCAGGTGGGAGGCTGTGGGTCCCCTTTCCACAGGGATGGAGCTCTGGGAATAGAGCCACAAGCTTGCTTCACCTCCCCGGGGGGAGAGCTGTGGGATCTGGAGGGCTCCCATGAGATAGGGCCTCAGTCCTTGCTCCCCATCTGCTCCCCAAGCCCTGGCTGTAATGTGGCTCTTCAGGTTTCAGAAAAAAAAGCTGGAAAAAGCTCGGAAGAAGAAGGAGGAGAAGAAGGAGGCTATGCTGGAGAAGAACCTGTTCAAAGGTGGGGCTGGAGTGACCCCCAGCCCTGGGGGGCAGTGCCTGGAGGGTGGGAGGACCTGGAGCATCATATCCTGGGGAGCTCCTGCCTGACTCCATCTGTGTCTTCTCTCCCAGACACAGTGGCCTTCGGAGAGGTGGTGACACAGCCGCCCACCATCACCTCCCGGCCCAGGGGACAGGGTCCCACCAAGCAGGTGAGCTGTGGGGACAGTGCCACCCACCCTTCAGGTACCTGCAGGGCTGGAGGGTGGCTCAGCCTCCCCCTGACAGCTCCTCAGAGCACAGTCCTGGTGCCTTATCCTTCATCCCTGAGCTGTTCCTTCACTACTGCAGGCTGGAAGGAAGCAGCTGCTGCTGACATCTCAGCTGGGCCAGAGCCAAGTGTCCCCAGCACCCCCAGTGATGTCCATGGCTCGCCAGCGCATCCTGGAGGAGGAGCGAGTGCGAGTCGTCCAGGCCTACAGGGACATCCAGAGGCGCAAACAGCTGGAACGGGAACGTGCCCAGGTCGGGCGTGGGGGCCCACCCTGAGCAGAGCCCCAGGGGCTGCACCTCTCTGGTGGCTTTGCAGGGACCCCAAGACTCGAGGGGGACATTGCCCTGGTGCTCTTGTGTCACTGCTGAGCCCTGGGACTCCCCACAGCTCTGTACCCCATGGCTCAGCGCCGGAGTGGGGTCCCTGTGGGGCCATGGAACTGCTTGGAGTAAAAGTACCAGTGGGAGCTGATGGTGTGAGGTCTCTTTGCTCCCACCCTGCCTGGATTCTGTAGGGATGCTGGTGTGCTGGCAGAAGGCAGTGTCAGGCCATGGGCTGGCCCTGGCAGGGCTCTGGTGAGGGCAGGACCCTCGTTGTCCAACCTTGAGGAGACCCCAATGCCTGGCCATGGTGCTCCAGTTCCCA